TAACGCAGTCTGCAGGATTAAATGAGTAAAATGCGACCGAATGGAATCGGTTGATGCCACGAGAAACAATCTCTTTTTTTCCACGCCTTCAGCAGAGTTTGGAGAACAAGCATCATATGCCTGAGCCTGACCATTAGAGCTGATCCCCTCCCACGAGTTGCCCAGCACCAACCGCACGGTGCCACTGAATCGAAACGCCACGGAGCCCGCTCTCCGTTCAGCTCGCCGGGCTCGGAGAACGCCACGGAGCCCGCTCTCCGCCCAGCTCGCCGGGCCCGGAGAACGCCACGGAGCCCGCTCTCCGTCCAGCTCGCCGGGCTCGGAGAACGCCACGGAGCCCGCTCTCCGTCCAGCTCGCCGGGCTCGGAGAACGCCACGGAGCCCGCTCTCCGCCAGCTCGCCGGGCTCCCGGAGAACGCCACGGAGCCCGCTCTCCGTCCAGCTCGCGGGCTCGGAGAACGCCACGGAGCCCGCTCTCCGTCCAGCTCGCCGGGCTCGGAGAACGCCACGGAGCCCGCTCTCCGTCCAGCTCGCCGGGCTCGGAGAACGCCACGGAGCCCGCTCTCCGTCCAGCTCGCCGGGCCCGGAGAACGCCACGGAGCCCGCTCTCCGTCCAGCTTGCCGGGCTCGGAGAACGCCACGGAGACCGCTCTCCGCCCAGCTTGCCGGGCTCGGAGAACGCCACGGAGACCGCTCTCCGCCCAGCTCGCCGGGCTCGGAGAACGCCACGGAGCCCGCTCTCCGCCGAGCTCGCCGAGCTCGCCGGGCCCGGAGAACGCCACGAGCCAGCGACAGCCAACGAGCGAAAAACCGCCAGCGGCCAATCACAGTCAGGGAAAAACCGCGGCGTCGCCCCGATTGTGGCTCATTTCGTCAGGCGGGGGGGGGGGGGGGGGACGCGGCGGGGAGGGGGACAGGGAGCGTGCTGGCAGAACGGACAGGGCTAGCAGACAGCGATGCTAGAGCGGGAGACGGCGTAACATGTCCGCAGCGCACCACGTGGCCTCATTAATCATCTGCGAGTGGTGGACTGCCTGCGACAAACGCAGAATGATGTCTGCTCCGAGAAATCCTCCTCGATTATGCTGGCGGGGCGTGCCCAGACGCCATTACGGACCATGCACGTAGACGGCGGCCAAAAAAAAGCGCACGGGCAACCCAATTAGATCGTCGAGGTCAATTATCTAGGCTGAAAACGGTTTGGCAGCATCCCTCCCCCACGTAGTGGGACAGAGAGCTGCGGTCCACATCCGGCACAAGGACACCGTTGTGGGGAGGTGGCACACGGACGCCGGGGAGGGCAGGGTGGGCCGGAGCCGGCGGCGGCCGGTCTGGCGGGCTGCGCGGCCTGGTGGGCGGGTGGTGGGGTGGCAGCGGCCGTCCAGACCTCCTCTGCCGCCGTCCATCGGGCCAGCCGGCAGCGGCCGACACTCGGTCAGCCGCCGGCCGGCCTCCCCGGGGCTCGCGAATCAATGACAGCCCGCCTCGAGGGATCGGCGCGTCGCATCGCGCCGCGACGCTGACCCGGGTAAGAGGGTCCGACACGCGCGGACGGTGGGTGGCGGCGGGACTGCCGCGCATGAGACGCTGCCTGGCAGACAGACCTCTACACAGCTGACACGGGGCGAAAGGGGAATCTGCACCAAAGCTAAGGGCGGCAGATTGCGGAGCCTCCACTCGGCAACAATGGCGGGGAAGGGATTTCCACCCGGCTGACATTGTCTAGGAGAGGAACCTACATACAGCCAACGCTGACCTATAGCGTGACCTGTGACCTCCACTCGGCTGACACTGGTCGGCAGAGGAATTTTGACACAGTTGAAACTGGCGGCGGTATAAAATCATCACAGCTGACACTGATCGGTGGAGTGCCCTTCACACATACCCGTATAACTCGCCCCCGCTCGTAACCGCTTGTAACCCACACAGTGTCAAAGCTGACGCCGACCGGGACACAAACCGGGTTTCTAGGCAGCTGACGCTGAGAGGGTTCTCCACATAGCTGAGACTGAGCGAGGTATTCATACAATGGACACTGTGTTCTCTACATGGTGGACGCTGATGAGATTTCTCCACACAGCGCACACTGAGTGGGTTCTCTACACACGGGACACTGAGTGTGATCTCCACACAGTGGACACTGAGTATGATCTTCACACAGCGGACACTGAGTGTGTTCTCCACACAGCGGGCACTGAGTGCGTTCTCCACACATGCGGACGCTGAGTGCATCCTCCACACGGAGGACACTGAGTGTGTTTTCCATACGGCGCGCACCGGTCTGCAGCGGAATCTCCGCAACATCGCCCTTAAGCCCAAACCACTGCCATCGCCTCCTCCTGAAGGCCCTGAGCCCAATGCCGGTTGGACTGCGCCGCCTCTCGACGAGTGGTCGATGCGAGGCGGCAGCCGGCGGTCGGCCGACATAACTGTCGTCTCCGGTTCGGCCACGTCGGGATAGCCGACCTTAGCCATCAGTGTCGATGTCGGCCGCATGCCA